TGAAGGCTGAAGAAGTCAAGAATTAAAACAATCCACATGTCCTTCTATGTAATCTCCTTGACAAAATACTAAAGAGGTTGAAAACATGGCCTATCTTATCCAAAGCATACCAGACTCCTCTATAAAAGAATGAGTCTGAAATACTTTGGAGGGCCTATCTTATCCAAAGCATACACGCTCATCGGGCACCGAAACAGCGAACCAAATGGCATGTGCGCTCACCGGCCACCTCCATGTGGCCCGCGCACTCATCAGCCAATGCCAAGTGGCCAGCGTACTCATCGGCAACCGAAATAGCGAACCAAGTGGCCCGTGCACTAACCGACCACCTCTATATGGTCCACACACTCATCAGCCAGCTCTAAGTAGCATGTACGCTCATCTTCCACCGAAACGGTGAACCAAGTGGCCTGCATGCCCATCAGTCACCGTCAAGCGGCTTGCACGTTCACGAAACATATGAAACGAATTGGTGAAGTGTACAAGTCAATAAAACGATGGAATGCATGCAGAAGGACAAAACAAATCCAGACCAAACATACCGAGAAAGCCCCTGGCGGCCGAGTTGCGTCAAAACGACTCGGCCAGGCCAGTGGCTCCGCCACCAGTGGCTCGACCATGGGCCGAGCCACCAAATGGTGGTTCGCGCCTGAACCGAACCGGTTTGGTTCGTTTTGCACCCGGTTCAGCCAGATTAGATCCGAAAACATGTTTTGACAGTTTTCAATGAGTTTTCACGGGATTTTTTCTGTTCCAAAGGTTCCTAACTGCCTAGATGTTATCTCTAAACGTGGTTATAAGGTTGTCAACTAAGGATAAGGCCAAATCCATCGTTCTTATCCGAAAACCCCAAACTGAAGCCTATAAATACAGGCCTAGGGGTTCATTTCATAAGGACTAGAAATCAAGAGGGTGAAGTGCTGCCAAATTGGAGAGTGGAGCATGAATTTCAGAGAGTTAGCAGATCTTGGCGAGGTTCCTCAATAAAAAAAGAGAGAGTTCGAGAGATCTAAGACCTATTTCCCCCCATTCCTCCAGATTTAAGCTTGGTCTTAATCCCAAGAAGAGTCGTAATCTCGCTTGGTCGGGATTATCACTTCTGTGAATACTTTCTTCGTGAAGTAGGAACTTTGATTTTAATCCATCAATCGGATCTGATCCGCTGTGGTCCACGGATATCAACGTCCCCGACATAGGTGAAGTTCCCACGCAAACAATAGGAGATAAACTGCTGTGGTGTGTAGTTTGACAAGAGTTGTAATCTTTTATTTTTATTGTATAAGGAGATCTTATTAAAAGATCGACTTTTCTCTTTTTCGAACTTGTAATCAATAAACGGTTGTAATGAGTTTGTTGGCAATGAAATTAACTTTTGACCCAAACAGACCCCTAGTCGGGTCTGAGTCAGGTTTTGATTTTCTGACCCATTTTATTTTGTGTTGATATATAATCCTAAACCTGATTAATTAGGGTTAATTAAGGATGATTTTGAGCAGCTTTTGAGAGAGAATTGTGCATCCTTTGAGAAAGAATTTATGAGAGATTTTGAGAGGATATGTATTTACATTGGTAGAAGCACCGGTGCGTTAGAGATGTACACTTTAATATACAGTGGCTCTTACTACTACGGAAGCGGAGTATATGGTGGTGACTGAAGCCATGAAGGAGGCTTTGTGGTTGCACGGATTGTTAGATGACTTAGGGATTGCACAGGAGGCCATTCGGGTGTATTGTGATAGCATGTCGGCTATCTATTTTGCAAAAAATCAAGTTTACCATGCATGCACGAAGCACATTAATGTCAGATTCCACTTTGTTCGAGATGTCTTTGATGATGGAGATGTCATATTAGAGAAGATTCACACAAAGGACAGTCATGTAGATATGTTGACCAAAGTTGTCTAGGGTGTGAAGTTTAGACATTGTTTGGAGCTATTGAACATTCTTTGATGTTGAGGGCCTTTGGAGGCCATTTGGGTGAACTACATGAGGCTTGATTCCTTGGGCAAGAGGATACGTAGACAGTCATTTTTGATGCAGTCGGTTAGAGCAGTTGATATCGATGGGAGGAGATTTTGAGTTTTCGTTCGGGTTCCCGACTTGTTGTGGATTAAGTCCGTTGTCGTGAATTTATTCCACTTCGTACTAGACACAACAAGTGGGACACTTGGTTGTTTTGGTGTCGGCTCAGTTTTGGGAAAATTTCACCGAGGTGGAGATTTGTAGAATTGCCAACACAGTTGAAAAGTTCAGGAAATTACACGCAAGAAATTATTTGGAAGATTGTCGGTCGACCGCGAGATCAGCAGCGGTCGACCGAAAACGAGCACAGGTCTGTTTGGTGGAAAATTTGTAATAAGAAAAATAATGAAAGAATCGTATTTGATTTATTCTCTCTAACTGCTTAGAAAAAGAATGATTAAAATCCTCTCAATCTCGATTACAATTGGATTTCCTGATTACAAAAGAGAAAAGAATTGATCTGGATCCTCCCCTTTGTTTAATTTTGGGTTCTTCACGGTGGCGATGGGGTGTTTCCTTCGAATGCTCGCGTCAAATTTTCTCTCCGTTGACGATCCAAATGTCTCAATTCACTGGAGCAACTGACTTGTGTGGTCGAACTGATCAAGAACTCTTAATGAGTTTTGTAACTCAGGACCAGTAACAAAATCTAGTGGAGAAGAGTTGTTTGAACCGAAATAATTCGGTTGAGAATCCAAGTTTCAAATATCTGATAATCTTTGGTTGTTGAAGATTGTTGCCTCCAGATTTTCTCCTCTCCAGAATCTGATCTCCAAATCCGATCCCTAAACTCTGTTGAGTTTGTTGATATTTATAGGGCTATTAGGGGTGTAACTGCCCCCATAATCCGCGCCTATATGGGTGTTTAGTCGCCCTATTAATCGGGTATAACAACCCACTCAAACCACCTCCCCAAATCGTGGGTGAAGAGTAGTTTCGGGATTGCCAGATCAGGTTTGAACAGGTCAAACACAAGTCGTTCGTTGCTGGGCTTGAACCTGCGTACACTTTTGGATGATGCGTCAGCGTTCAAGCTTGAGTTGCGTCCACGGTTGAATTGGTACCGCGTTTATGCTGCGTTCAGCGGCTCTGAACACAGTGCATTTAGAGCTGTATTTGTGTTGCGTCTGTGTTGTGTTTGAGCTGCGTTAATGTAGTGATCGCATTGCTTTGACCTTTGGAATGTAGTCACTTGTGTTTTGACTGTAGGGATGAATTCTGCCTCTCGGTTTGAAGAAATCGTTGACTTGTAATATCTTCTTGATCTATAGGAGAATCCTTCGATTGTAGCATCCCTTTGTTAACAAGAAAGTCATTTGATTGTAATCCTCTTAGTTGTGACTTGACAGAGACTAGCTATCTATTGTGATTTTTAGACAGCCTACAAGGTCGAAGGCAGATTCTGGAGTTGTTTTCGGTCGACCGCAGCACTCGACCGCATATAATTGATTTATGTTCTGTCGCTAGTTTCGGTCGACCGTAACAGTCGACCGCAGAGACCCTGTAATCGAATTGGTTTCTGTCGATTCCTAGGTGGTTGACCGCAATGAATTCGACAATCGACCGCCAGTCGGGTCTGAGTCTGGTTTTGATTTTCTGACCCATTTTATTTTGTGTTGATATATAACCCTAAACCTGATTAATTAAGGTTAATTAAGGACGAATTTGAGCAACTTTTGAGAGAGAATTGTGCATCCTTTGAGGAAGAATTTGTCAGAGCTTTTGAGAGTTTTGTTTGAGGGTTTTTGGTGAATTGTAAACCCTATTTGTATTCTCTTTATCTTTAATAGTAAAAACTCACCCCTCATTGACCCGTGAACGTAGGCAACTTGCCGAACCATGTAAAATTTGTTTGTCTTGCTGTGGTTTGTGTTTATTCGTTTGATTGTGATCTTTCTTGTTCTTGTTCGTGCTCTTTCTTTTGTGTTTGGAGTTCCGCTACGCACAACAGGGACCATATAATTAAATAAGACTAAAATATTGATAAAACTCTTCTTAGCGCGAGCTAAAACACTAGTATAATAGAAATAAATGTTTTATTTTCCTTTCATATGAACAACCACCGCTCTTTTTTTTTCTATATTTTCATGTGATTAGTTTCCATGCATCAATCTTTTGTCACTTCCTCATTTTCATGTTAAAAATTATTTAAAATATGAAACAACTAGGTCAGCACGTGATCTTTTGTCACTTCCTCATTTTCATGTTAAAAATTATTTAAAATATGAAACAACTAGGTCAGCACGTGATTTATACTTGTATATTATTTATCTGAATTTTACTTTTGAATTGAAAAATACGGCTACTTCTTTGGTGACAAATCAACTATTCATCTGAGTTGGGCTTCTGATGGTCTAATTGTTTGATGAATTCAGCCCCACATATATCATTACGCTAAGCTTCTTTTCCAAAGTTTGGACAAATCTTACAGCTTTATTGTCCCAATTTTCTTTAAATTAAAAGCAAAGATGGAAAATAAAAATTTACTACAAAAAAATGATGGAATTTTGGTACTTATAAAAGATACTGAAATTTTTAGATCATGGGTAAGCTTCAAAAGTCAATTAGTCATGTGTAAAGGAGAAGATGTGTTGATTTGGATTGGTTATGATCAAAATTAAATCCGAAACTTGTCTCTCTTGAAGAATATCAAACTCAATTTCCATTAAAATGTGTTAAAACCGAAAGGGACATGGTAGAGCTGTGGATATTGTCTAAAGATACGAAGAAGAGAAAAAGAGGTAAAAAGAGGAGAATAGTGACTAATTTAGAGAAGTGATATAGGAAAAAGAAGAGAAAGGTGACAGAGTCAAGAAAATAGGGTTCAAAAATTGAAAATGAAATAGAGAAATAGGAACCTGGATTTTAAACTTTACTTATCTTGGGTGTTATGAACACTGATAAATAAGAAATTTGATGGAATTACTTCATGAATCATGGTGTAATTAAGTACATTTCTAGATACTTAGATCACTTCATGAATCACCGACCCAACTCCTCCATTAAGATCTTAATAATTAAAACAGAGGATAAAAGCAACAAGGAGGGATAATTTATTTTACACATAACAATTCTTATTTATCATTAATTTAACACGAAGAACAGCACTGAGTTCAAAAGTAAAAAAACAACAGCACATAGATATTCAAGCTAGAGGGTAGAAATTCCTTGCTCATTCTCTCCTTCACTCAAGTTCAAAAGCTGATGCATCAAAGCTATCAGACAGTCCAGTCCCAGTTTTGAAGGTGAGCTTCTCAGAGGAAGGAGTCTCAAAATACATCTCAACAACGGAGAGCCACAGCAGAAGCTCCTTGGTTTTCACTCCGGTCATCTTCTTCATCTTGCGAGGCTCAACTAATGCGGTCACCTCAGTCGCATATGAAACCTGACGCTTTACCTTTTTGAAAGTATGATTCTTACTCTTCTTCTGAGTTATCCATACGAATCCAGATGCACGGTTGTAGCCAAATTCTTCGATATCCTCCATAGGGAACAAGCCCTTTGGAAGGCAGAGCTCTGTCAAAAGCTGGACAATCTTCTTCTTGCACTCAGCATCCCCATGGCAGATCTCAGCAGCTGAACGGTGGCTCTCGATGGTCTGTGACGACGACATCTTTCTTTTCTTTGGGTAAAATTAATTAAGGAGAGAAGAAGAGATTGGGATAATTTTTTTTGAAGGCTAAGGTTTTGGCTTAGTGAATGAAATGTGCATTGAAGGGGTGCAATATATATAGAGGGAGAAGTGATGAGGTTTGAAGAGAATTTGAGTGGGAACTGTGTGACTTTGTCAAACAGAATGGGAGCCAATTTAATGCTTACGGTGTCCCGCGTCGAGCTCGCCTGAGGATCGTGGAGAGGCGTGGTCTTGGATCTCGCCTGCTGGTCTAGGGCGCAGAAGAGATCGAGCGAGCTCGAGCTCGCCTGTCTGCGTGGGAGCTCGCCTTGAGAGTTGAGTGCGAGAGGATCTCGCCAGAAGCAAATCTCACCTGTGGTGTGAGATGTCGCCTGCAGAGCTCTGGATCTCGCCTGCGTGGGTGGAATCCAGCTGGAGCGCACCAATTGCCCTAGGGTTTCCCTATAAAAGTGAAACACTGTTCACGGAGTTTTTTGAGCCCATCCTCAGCGATTTCAACAGAGAGAAAAATTCTCTCTATGGCGGCGGTTCCCATCCTCAGCGATTTCAACAGAGAGAAAAATTCTCTCTGTGGCGGCGGTTTAACTCCAGCGGAAATTCCCAGATTAATTTGAGAATCAAATTTTTCGGTCAAGAAAATTTTGCTCTATTACTGTAGCATTTACTACAGTGAAAGAAGTTGGTATAGTGAGAGCTCTAGTTTGAGATTCCCACATTTATAAGCTTTGTAATTTCTTGTGGTTAAATAAGAAATTAATTGTGTGGCTCCCGTGGACGTAAGCAAGTTTGCCAAACCACGTATATCTGTTGTCCCGCCTCATTTACTTATTGTTTATTTGTGTTTTCGGTATTGCTTGTATTGGTTAGTTTGAGTTTGGCTTAAACTTAAACTAGGGTTGTGTCTCTTGGGATAAACTAGCTTCCGCGGCGGTGTGGGCGCCTCGCGTCCCAACAATTGGTATCAGAGCAGTTATTCGGATTGGCAGTGGTTGAGCTACTGATCTGAGGTGGTGCTTGGTTATTGTTGAAATTCCTAAGAGAGGCGGATTTATTAATACAAGTGGAGAATGGCGTCCACAAGTAAAACAGTTAAAGTGGAAAAATATGAGATTGAGAAATTCAATGGGAAGAATGATTTCTCCTATTGAAGGATGCAGATAAAAAATTCGCTGGTTTCGCAGAAATTGCACAAGGCCTTGGAGGGAAAAGAGAAGAAGCACAAGGATATGTTTGATGAGGATTGGGAGGAGCTGGATCTGGAAGCATGAGCATCAATTATCCTTTGCCTTGAAAGGGATATAGCTTTCTTGGTAGATGGAGTGGAAACGGCTGCGGGCGTATGGTTAAAGTTAGAGAGTACCTTCATGACGAAGAGTCTAACGAACCAGATCTATTTAAAATCCAAATTGTATACTTACAAGATGGAGGAAGGCTCATCAATCCGAGAGTACATCAACAAGTTTGATAGGATCTTATCGGATTTGAAAGACATTAAGGTGACAGTGGAAGACGAGGATCAGGCTCTTCTACTACTTCTATCTCTGTCAAAGTCTTATGAGAATCTGGTTCAAACACTGATGCTTGTGGGTGATAGTTTGTCGATGGATGAGAATAGAACGGCGCTTCTAGCGGATGATCTTCGAAAAATTACAACTAGTGATATGACCACTAATGGTAACAAAGAACAAGTGCAGGGGTTCTTTGCCAGAGGAAGAGACAATGAGTGAGGAAAAGGCAAGGTAGGAAAGTCTAGATCAAAATCAAGACCTCTTGCGAAAAGACCGTGTTTCAAATGCGGTGAGCTAGGGCATTTCAAAGTCAATTGTCCTAACAAGAGAATAGGTGGAAAGAAGAACAACAACAAGACTGAAAGACGAGAAGGCAAGGAAGAGGCGAGCTACGCTTCAGAGGAAGGGAGCGATAAGGAATGCTATGTCGTCACGGGTGACGAGGATACCTCCGGGAAGTGGATTCTTGATTCTGTTTGTTCTTACCACATGTGTCCAAACAGGAAGTGATTTACTACCTACAGGAGCATTGATAGTGGAACCGTATTGATGGGGAATAACCATACTTGTAAAACGGTGAGGCTATGTGATATCAAGATCAAGATGTATGATGGAGTGGTTTGAACCTTGACGGATGTAAGGCACGTTCCCGGCTTGCGGAAGAATCTTATCTCAATTGGTGTTTTAGACTCTGGGGGTTGCAAGATTGTAACCGAGAACGGAGTGAAGAGGGTTGTTCGGGGTTCCTTAGTAGCAATGAAGGGCATTCGTCATGATAACCTATATACTCTCTTGGGTACGACGGTGGCAGGAGATGCAGCGGTTGGAACTGATGGAAGTGGTGGAGACCCATGTGAGCACACACGGTTATGGCATAGGCGGCTTGGGCACATGTCAGAGAAGGGTCTAGATTTCGTCGGTAAGGAGGGTTTGCTGAAGAATCTTAAGAAACCTTGCAAGGATTTTTGCGAGGACTGTGTGTATGGAAAGGCGCACATGGTTCAATTTCAGAGAAGCAATCACAAGAGCAGAGGGATACTAGATTATGTGCACACGGATGTTTGGGGTCCAGCTTCAACAACTTCTAAGGGTGGTTCCAGGTATTTTGTCTCTTTCATAGATGATTATTCGAGATATGCTTGGATTTATTTTCTGAACAATAAGAATGAGGTATTCGAGACATTCAAGAAGTGGAAGGCGATGGTTGAGAACAGGACAGAAAAGAAATTGAAGATATTGAGATCTGACAACGGTACAGAGTATACAGATGGTGCCTTCAAGGAGTTCTGTGATCAGGAGGGGATTGCCAGACACTGGACAGTCAGGTCTACACTATAGCAAAATGGGGTCGCGGAGAGGCTGAACCGAACACTGCGGGAGAAAGCAGCGAGTATGCGATCTTATGCTGGTTTGGGCAAAGAATGGTGGACAGAGTCGATTGCTACAGCTTGCTATATAGTGAATCGATCTCCACATTCAACATTAGATGGTGATACACCCTATCGGGTGTGGTCAGGGGAGCATGCAAATTATGAGAGGCTCCGAATCTTCGGGTGTACTGTCTACTATCACGTCAACGAGGGAAAGCTTGACGCGAGGGCCAAGAAGGTAATTTTCTTCGGGGTATGCAAAGGGTGTAAAAGGCTATCGCCTTTGGTATACAGAAGATTCAAAGTTCGTGATCAGCAGGGACGTTACCTTTGATGAGAAGTCCATGATTACTAAGGTACCCAAGGATGATGGTGTTGAAACTGTTGGAAATTCTAAGTCCCAGGTTCTTGATATAGAACCTAAAGACCAACTAGGTTCTAGTCGTGTTCAAGTAGAAAATCAGGTAGATGATGAGCTTGAGCAGGAGGAGATTCAGACAGGCACTATAACAACAACAGCTCGAGGATAGCTTAGCTTCCACTAGACCAAGGTGAGCATACAAGCAGGTGCAGAAGCTGGGGGCTGATCAACCCCTAAAGCACTATGGGCAGGTTAATTTGGTTGAGTACACACTCTCGGTGGAGGAAGATGAGCCGGTCTCCTTCAAAGAAGCTATTGGGATAGAGATAGCGAGTGTTGGTTGGCTGCGATGGAGGAGGAGATGGAATCCCTCCGGAAGAACCAAATATGGGAGGTGGTCCCATTGCCCGTAGGAAAGAAAGCTATAGGTTGTAAGTGGCTGTATAAAAGAAAGGAAGATCCTTCAGAGCTCGGTGGTACGAGGTACAAGGCGAGGCTAGTTGCTAAGGGGTTTGCACAAAGAGAATGTGTGGATTACAATGAGATCTTTTCTCCGGTGGTGAAACACACTTCTATTCGGGTGCTATTGAGTATTGTTGCTCATGGTGATCTTGACCTGGAACAACTCGATGTCAAGACGGCCTTCTTGCCCAGAGACTTGGATGAAGAGATCTATATGCATTAACCTGAGGGTTACAAGGTTGAGGACAAGGAGAATCATGTATGTCGCTTGAGAAAGTCACTGTATGGATTGAAGCAATCTCCTCGGCAGTGGTACAAGCAATTTGACTCCTTCATGCTGAGGCATGAGTTTTCTCGAAGCGACTATGATTGTTGTGTTTACATTCGGAAGCTTCATGGAGGTGATTATATCTATCTCCTGTTATATGTGGATGACATGCTTATTGCATCGAAGAACAAGGCGTAGATAGATAAGCTGAAATCTCAACTTAGCAAGGAGTTCGAGATGAAGGATATGGGCGCTGCTAAGAAAATACTGGGTATGGAGATTAGAAAAGAGCGGGCAAATCGGTGATTGTTCTTGAGTCAGAAGGGCTACATAGAGCGGGTGATCGCAAGGTTCGGGATACAAAGTGCAAAGTCGGTGGCGACTCCATTGGCTCCACACTTTCAGGCTCTCGGGTAAACAATCTCCCACTACAGCGGAAGATAAGGCACACATGGAGCGTGTTCTTTATGCTAGTGCAGTTAGCCGTTTGATGTATGCTATGGTGTGTACTCGTCCAGATATCTCATAGGTGGTTAGTGTGGTCAGCAGAGCCATGAAGAATCCGGGAAAGGCGCACTGGGAAGCGGTGAAATGGGTCCTGAGGTACTTGAAAGGTACAACGGATACATGCCTGTGTTTTGGTGGAGATACATGTCAGATTGATGGGTTTGTGGACTCAGATTATGCAGGCGATCTAGACAGACGGTGATCTACTACTGGTTATGTATTCAGTATACATGCTGCGCCAGTTAGTTGGAGATCCATGTTACAGGCTACAGTGGTACTTTTTACTATGGAGGCTGAGTACATGGCCATGGCAGAGGGAGTGAAGGAAGCATTATGGTTATGGGGTCTGTTAGACAATTTGGGGATTGAGCAGGATAGTGTGAACTTGTGGTGCGATAGCCAGAGTGCGATTCACTTGGCTAAGAATCAAGTTCATCATGCTCGTACCAAGTATATCGATGTCAGGTATCATTTTGTGCGGGATGTCATAGAGGAAGGTGATATTTCTCTCATGAAGGTGCACACGAATGAGAACCCAATAGACATGTTAACCAAGGTGGTGACAGGTAGCAAGTTCCAGCATTGCTTGG